CAGGCAGTGGCAGCCCCACCTAGCCAACTTCCCCATAGTATTATAGGTTTTTTTTTCACATGATGTAATATAGTATGGAATATCCCTTTGGCCTCTTCAGGTCAGCTGTCCTGGTTCTGACCCCGCCCAGCTCCCCAGCTCCTTGTGTGTCCCAGACTCCTTGCTGGCAGGACAGTGTGAGAAGCTAAGAAGCTGAGATGTCCTTGGCTCTGTTAGGCACTAATCAACAACAGCTAAAACATTAATTTGTTATCAACATTGTTTGTTTTTTTTTTTTTCTAAGCTACATAGCATCATACCAGACATTATAAAAATAACCAAGTCTGTACCAGCTAAAACCACAATGAATTTGTATTGGGGGTATAGAAGATTACACAATGCCTGCCTTTGACTCTTGAAAAATTCAAGAAATTCAAAAATTAAGAGGAAAATCTGTCTTCTGGACACTTTTTAGCAATTCTTCTCCCTCCATCCCAAAAGAGAGGAATAAGCAGAGTTCAGTTATGACCATCTTCAAGAATTATGCTTTTAGATTTTCCTTAAATTATTTTAATTAAACGAACTCTGCACAACTGTTGGTTTCCTGCATACAGTTCTCTCTCCAGTTCTTTTTTCTTTTGAAATGCAGTTTAGGTTCACTGATTCTGCCACCAGTTACATGTTTCAACAGTGTAGAAGAAAGACTGTTTTGTCTCATGAACACTAAATGAGAATGAGAATTATTCCTGCCTTCACATCTGCCTAATCTCCAATGCCATGAGGAAGGTCTGGAGGAAACTGCTGGAATTTCCCAGCACTTTCTTATGGCACACAAGGATCCTCACACAGCTCCTAACAAGAGCAGCAATGTCATAGGACATTTCCTCTTAGACTACAAAGTAACTACATTATGTGCTTGGGTTTTTGTTACTGTTGTTGGTTTTGGTGGATTTTTTTTTTTATTATTTTTTCTTTACACAGAAGGCAGAGAATTTCATTGCTAAGATTGTTAATTAAAAAGGTAAGAAGAGTGGGGCTAGACGTATGAGGCAAATGGGTCATCTCTTTGGTAGAAAGAGATGACTTGAAAGAACAAGCCACAATTCCTGAACCCAATAAGCATCTCAAATAAACTATTGGTAAAAACCAGACGATCTTCATTTACAGCCATTGTACCACTAGAGGGGGAAAGAATATGAAACATCTGTGCATTATACAGGTTTCTGTACCCATTACTTTTTACCTTTATTCTTGCATTGTGTTATTGATTCTGTTGACTATCTGCATTTGAAGTCTGTGGTCAAAAATTGCTCTCTATTGTTACTGTACAGTTCTGTACAGCAAAGATACAGTTACTACTTGCACTGGCAGTGAATAGGAAATGGCATGCAATTACTGCCCCCCTTCAATTATGCTGTCTTATGGCCATGGCATTTTTTTTATACTGGAGATGGGAAGCACATCTAAAACTAAAATTCTCATGATATTACTCCCTCAGAATAAGACCAGAAGTTGAGTTCTTAGTAGAGAATGACTGATAGCCAGAAGCTTCTATGTGAATGAACTAAATTTTGATCATGTTATATACTGGAACTGAAACATGTCACCTTCAAGACTAGTTGTAAGTCATAAGCAAATTTGACTCACTTCAGTTCCAGTGATTTAGTTTCCATGCAGCATGAATGGTTCACCCAGAGAGCCCTGCTGCAATCACAACACACAGCATACAACTTCCACATGTTTAGGAAGAAGGTCCATGGCTAGTTGCAGTGCACTTAATTTCCAGGATCTAATTTTGTGATTAAAGGAGGAGTATACTGAAGAATCAGCATAGTACTGAGCTAAAGGCGGTACCTGCTATTCCTCTGCAGTTGTAGGTATTCTTCTCCAAATGATCTAGTTCAGTATCTGAAGCCTAATAGTGTTCATTAATTGTCCTACTTCCTATTCCTTTAGGAAACCACCTGCACAAAAGCGCTATTTATATAACACTAATCAACTCTCATTCCTCAAGTCTGAACAGGCTGAAGGCAGCAACATCATCAAGAGGGTATTTCTTGGGATACAACAGCGAATACCTAACAGTTCCTCAAAACAGGCCTTCCTTGCACAACAGCAGGATCAGAGGATCTTTAGAAGCATCTAGCTGTGTGGATGCTGACTACAGTTCTGTAAGTAGGATTTTATGTTCGTTGACATAACTCTAACAACTTTGGGATGAAGAAAAGGTTTGGAGTAGGATGAGCAGTGTGATGCATTCTTTCTCTGTTAGGAAAAACTAAGCTGTACTGAGAAAAGTAACAGTGCTAGTAGACGTATCCTACAACTTTAGATAGTTCAGTAGGTTCTTGTATTGTAATTTGTGTCTTAATAATGGGTGTTCCAGTGGTATCACAAAGATTCTATTGATTATTTCCTGGAGTCAAAATTCTTTGAAAAAGAATAGAGAGGTGGCTATTACCTTGGTGAAGGAATAGATCTGCAAGTTGATGACAGAATTGGCTATCCCTCTTCAAAGTGTGGGTCAGCACATACCCAGGTGTTAATGCGAACAAGGTTGGAACTGGGACGGCTACAGTCTTCCTAGCAAAGCTGATATTAGAAGAGAGATCTCCTGGGGTATGTATTGATATATTTTCTATTAGAGGATTAGAACTCATAAAATGTTGATCCTACCGTCCCATATTCTTATTGCTTCGTGTGCTAGTTACTTATCTTGGAAATATTATGAAACAATGAATCTGGGACTGAAAATGGTAATTTAGAATACTCTAACCTCTAGAATGGCTATGAGAGAGGAAAGATCTTGATGGCTCTTCCAGAAATTTTGCAAATTGCAACTTACTTGATAAGTTTTTATCTCTAATAAGGTCTTCCTGTGCCAAAAAAGTGAAGTGGTGCAAATTTAGGGCAAACAAAATATTTTTTTTTCACAAAAATTAATGGGAATTTTGTCTTGTTCTCTTAGCAATAGAAACCCACAGTAATTGGGATGGCATTTTGCTGCCAAAAGTCTGTGGTGAGGAAAAAGCAAGAGTCAACAGGAGAGGGAGAGAGGGAGAAGGGCATGATGGTATCTCGTCATCCTTTTATTTTGTGTAACTCCAGCAACACCTAATGTTGCTATGGTGATCTGTCAGGTGACTGGGATGTGGCAGCTGGCTGCACACAGGTAATAAACAAGAAAACCTGTTAGCAACTTTCCATTGTTCCTTCTCCTGTGTTTTTTTTTTGATGAATCTCATTTCTGCTTGCAATTCCCCATAAGGGAGGAGAGAAAGTTTAGAGTTCATCTTCTCTAGATACAGCTAAGCATTGCATTGTGCCAGTAAGCAGGAGGTGGTGACATCATCACTTCTGTGTTGTACTGTGTGAGTCTGGAAAGGAACATATTTTTCTTCATTGTGGCAGAGATGGATCCTTTGCGTGGACTGCCTGTGAGTACATTATGAAAATAAATCTAACTAGGACATGGGGAATTGCAATAAAATGCTATCTCCCAAGTAGATTTATATTCCATCAGAATGCATTGCTGAGTGTAAATTTATATATGCCTAGAGAGACTGTATTAATGCACTACACATAAGTTTGAAATGCACTACACATAAGTTTGAGATAAGTGTAATGTGTGGAACAGATTATCTGGTGATAATTTCAGGAAAGAAAGGATGGAGCATGCATATTAAAAAAAAATATTTAGAGATATGGTGATTGAAAGCTGCTTTGTGGGAAACTGAGATGTGAAGGGAAACAATGAAAATCAGGTTTTAAAAAAATATAATTCGCATTTATATAATATCTTTAAGTATTCATGTTGTGTTAACAAATGAGAAAACTGTAAAAAGTACATTTGGTTAACTTTGAAGTGCTACCAGTACATGTAATAGAAGGGGAGATAGGGAAGAGAAATAAGTTTTTAACAGTACTTGTCAATATTTTACTTCTATAGAAAACTATGAGAGCCATAACTAGCTGGATTTATGGGTTGATGTTCTGAATTAGTGTGACTCTATTTATTTGCATTTATGTAGTTCCCCAGTCCCAAGAGGGCTGTTGTCACGGTAATGAATGGCACTGTAGAGAGTTAGGTGAAGGGTTTTAAGGTACAGCATTGAGCAGGATGTGGTGCTTGTTAAAAAATTTGGAAAATATACAAGCTACCTTAGTGAAAGAAGTGGAAGCTAATGTCTAAAATCTAATTTCAGTGTTCAACAAAAGTACATCAAATTTGCTGTCCCTGCACGGGGTGGGGTGGCGGTCGTTAGAACAGAAGTAGTTCCATGCCAGGATTTGTATAGAGGGGAGAAGGTGGCAGAGGCAGTCCACAGTCGAGTAGAACGTAAGTGATCTTAATGTCACTGATTTAGTCATTGATTTTCTTTTGCACTGCTGCTGTTCAGCCACATACTCTTCTCTTATTAAAATACACATCAACTGTATTTTCTCTCTAATCCCTGGTATTTGCTAAATAATCTGTGTTCAGCTCTGCCCTTCTTGCCTTTGTACTACTTGGAGGAACATTTTCATGTTCTACCTTGAATCAGTTTTTTCTTTTCCTTCCTGCACAAATTTGTCTGATTCCCCTCCCTGTCCAACTTTCTTCCACAGTTCATCCTTTTTTATGTCATGAACTGTAATGTGATTCTTTTTTCTCAAACTTCAATCCCATTTTAAAATGCTGATGTAGTCTCCTATGTCCTGTTTATAGAGGCCAAAGAGACAGTGCAGACATACCTGACCATACCAGCACAATCAGAGGGGTAGCTATCTTGTACATTTCAAGGAGCAAGATAAAGCTGCTATATTTAGGCACCCTTGTATGTTTGCAGTCAGAGGATCTCAACATGACCTAATCTGAACAATAGTGTACAAGTTTATAGCTCATTTGTATTCTCAATTAATCTCCAATTTTAACTCTGCTCAACTAGTGCTTTTAAATATCTGTGTAAATTCAGCCCCAAGGTCTGGCTTCTCCTTGTACTTTTCGGTTTTCCATCCATGTATTTCCATTCCAGATTATAAACAATTATCTGGACGGGACCCAAGGAGAGGCCATGGGCTCCATGAGTGGCTTGCACTTCAGAGATAGCAACAGAAAGGTTGACTATGTTTTAGTCTACCACTACCGGAAACGTCTCACCCAGCACAAGTCTGGAGCTGGATCACTAGGACCAATACATAGGGCAGCCTCCATGGCCATCGTTTCAAATGGAGAGACCAAGAAGGGCTGCCTCAATCTGCAGCCAGACAGTGGCCAGCATATCCCTCAGGAGGCTCAAGTGATTGAGCTGGACCCACTGGACACCCTGGAGGAGGAAAAACGACTGCAGAGGGAAGAGTATGAATGCAATCTAGCCGCAGCAGGACTGGAGATTGAGAAGGACATTGAGGTAAGAGGGAGAAAATTGTGTATTCTGCATGGCACTGGGTGCCCGATGGGTAATGGCCACCATGTTGCATAAGATGGACATGCAGGGAGCATAAACATTGGCAAGCAGAAGCCTCGCTGTGATCCTGCATCAGGGCCAAGCCTGTCTCTATACCTTCTCTGGTTTAATGTTAACCAATAGGAGAATCACATGTATTATGTGTACTGTTCCTGAGGTATCTCATAGTCATTTTAAGAAGCTAACCGTAAACCTTGTCACTGCTGTTCACTGCTGAACATCCTAGGATTTAAAGCTGTTGCTGTAACCCCAAATTAGGAATCATAAAAAATAAATAATATGAGCTATTTTATACATGCCTGTCAATGGTTTACAGGCTGGTTTGGCCCAGTTCCATGACTAGCGGGGATGGGGGGCCCATGCCCCAGGAAAAGGAAAAAGGGGAAAGAGGGTAGAGAGATGGGCCTAAAAACATAACAGCAGCAGCAATCTGAGGAGAAAAAAACCTAATTCACTAAATAAGATATCAGAATGCAAGATAACACATCATAATACAATATAATACAATTGAAGCTACTAAATCAAATAAAATGAGCATGTCTGAAAAACTGAAGCACTTACTCTAATGCTGAGGCAAGACACTTAGTTGGGCCAAGCAGAAGAGAAATGAAAGGGTGTTTCATGATATGCGAACAGTTTTATCTTTCCTTCTAAATGGAAAATGGAAACAGAACAACACAAAGTCCTCTGAGTATGTAGTATGTAGTTCTTCTCTTCTGAGAATGAGGTACCCAGAACTATCTGTGATCCATGGAGCTGGAGCATTAACTCTTTAACTCCCAGTGCACTACATGATGTTATGATGTAGAATACTGATAAAAAAAGCCACAAAACCATGACATTCCACTCCTTATTCCACATCACTACATCATGCTTAAAATATACAAACAAACAATAATTAACAAGCAATAAACACATGTACACACTCATATATATACATATATTTACATGGAATTGCAGATTGTACACCCTCAACTTCAAATTCCCTTGTGGTACACATTGAACATCCCCATATTTCTGCATTACCCACCATATGGACCCACGTCCCTGAAAAAACAGAAGCTGGAAAGATCCAAACTGCTTTTTCCAACATGCTCTTTACATGTACTGCAGGGACCTTATCTCCCTCTACAGTATGCAGGGAGCTGGATTGGACAGGGCCATCACAATTGATAGATCCTTGAGTGTTGACCAACCAGGTGGCTTCTCCCAAATGCTTCTCCCTCTGCTTAAATATACCACCACCCATTGCTTTTAACATAGTTTTTAACAATCCATTGCATCATTTGATTTTACCAGAATGATAGGGGATATGATAAATCCACTTAATGCCATGATCTTTGGCCCAAGTATTTACAAGAGAATTTTTGTAATGAGTCCCATTGTCTGACTCAGTTCTTTCTGGAGTGCCATGTCACCAAAGAACTTGTTTCTAGAGAGTGAGTATGGTGTTTTTGGTGGTAGCATGGGATACTGCATGTTTCAAGCTACCCAGTGGTTGCCTTCACCATGGTAAGCACATAACTTACCATCAAAGGTTTGTGGCAAGGTGATACAATCAGCCTCCCCATACAGTCACGGCTCCCCATATTTATACTTTCGCCATGGCCCTTCCCCCCAGAGAGGTTTCATCCTCTTGGCTTGTTTAATTGCCACACATATTTCACAGTCATTAATAACCTGTGCAATTATAAATAACTGTGTTAAGTCCACCTCTTGATCTCTTGCCCACTAATATGTTGTATCTCTTCCTTGATGCCCATATCTTTATTTGGGCTGCAATGTCTTTCCACAGTTCAGCAGCCCAAATACATTCATTGCCAGTTGTTTTGTTCCTACTGCTGTAATCACCCCCATACAGCAGTTGCCACCATCCATGAGTCGGTATAAAGATAAAGCATTGGACATTCCCATTAAGTAACATGTAACGCCAGTTGGACAGCCTTTTCCTCTGCAAATTGGTTTGATACTCCTTTTCCTTCAGTGGTCTCTGCAACTTGTTGTGTAGGGCTCCACACAGTAGCTTTCCATCTGTGATGCTTCCCCACAATAGACAAGATCCATCTGTAAACAGGGCATATTTCTTTTCATTCTCTGGTAGTTCATTGTATGGTGGGGCCTCTTTAGCATGCAGTACTTCTTCTGCTGCTGATGTTTCAAACCTTTTACCTTCAGGCCAGTCCATGATCACCTCTAGGATTCCTGAATGACTGAGGTTCCCAATTTAAGCTTGTTGCATAATCAATGCAATCCACTTACTCCAAGTGGCATCAGTAGCATGATGGGTGAAGGGAACTTTCCTTTAAACATCCAGTTTAGGACATGCAGCTGAAGTACTAGAAGGAGATGCATTTCAGTACTGATTACTTCGGAAGCAGCTTGAACCCCGTCATATGTGGCTAAGATTTCCTTTTCAGTTGGAGCGTAGCACTCTTCAGACCCCCTGTACGGTTCATTCCAGAAGACAAAGGGGTGGGCCCTGAGTCTCTCCTGGGATTCCAAGTGGGACCTTTCTCTCCAGCAACAGTGTAGAGGATGTTCTTTACATCCTGTCCCTTCTGTACTGGCCCCATGGCCATGGGCTTGGGCTATCTCTTGTTTAATTTGGTCAAAAGCCTGCTGTTGTTCAGGTCCCCACATAAAATTATACTTCTTCCACATCACCTGATAAAGAGGGCTTACAATGAGACTACAGTTTGGAACATGCATTCTCCATAAGCCCACTATGCCCAGAAAAGATTGTGTCTCTTTCTTACTAGTGGGCAGTGATTTTATTGACCACATCCATTGGGATGTGAAGATGTCCATCTTGCTACTCTGTAACTAGGAAGTGAATTTCCTGTGCAGATCCTTTCACTTTGTTTTGCTTAATAGCGAAACCAGTTCTCAGAAGGATCTGAATTATTTTCTCTTTTTTCTTGAAAACTTTTTCTGTTCTATTGCCTCACACCATAATGTCATCAATGTACTGTAAGAACTTGGAAGCATCACCAGTGCAGTTTGGATCAACCCTTGGCAAATGGTTGGACTATTTCCACCCCTGAGGCAAACAGTTCCAGGTATATTGAATGCCCCTCCAGGTGAAAGCCAATTGTGGCCTACATTCTGTGGCTGAAGGAATAAAGAAAAAGGCATTAGCGATGTCAGTGGTGGCATACCACTTGGTGGCTTTTGACTCCAATTCATACTAGAGTTCTAGCACATCTAGTACAGCAGCACTTAATGGTGGTGTGACTTAATTCAGGTCATGGTAATCTACTGTCAGCCTCCATTCCATACTGGCTTTACACGCTGGCCATATGGGGCTGTTAGAAGATGAGTGAGTTTTGCTTATCACTCCCTGACTAGCTGATGAATCAACTTATGAATGGGGAGCAAGAAATCCCTGTTGGTGCGGTACTGCCATCTGTGTACTATTTTTGTAGCAATTGGTACCTGTTGCTCTATCACTCGAAGCAACTTAACAGACAGATCTTCTGATAGGCCAGGCAAAACAGACAGCTGATTACATCGTCTGTATCCACAGAAGCTATTCCAAAGCACCCATGGATACCCCTTGTGATCCTGAAAATGTTCCCTTCTGTAGTAATCAATATGAAGTCTACAGGGAGCTCCTGGGTTAGTCACAATAGGATGCTGTTGCCAGTCTTCACCAGTGAGGCTTATTTCCTCCTCCAACATAGTCAACTCTTGGGAATCCCCAGTCACCCCAGAAATATAAATTGATTTTGTCTTTGTGACTCTGACATTAGAGTGCACTGTGCACCAGTGTCTGCCAGTGCCTTATATTTCTGTTCTAGGCCATTGAATCCACGCAGTCAATACACTCTGCTGTCCTTTCTCACCCGGCTGGGGGCAGAGCTCCTCTATTTGTTACCTCTATCGTTCTTCTTCTGTGAGCCATGAATCAGGGTCCTCACAGCTTTTTGCCATGTCCCACAGCAACCAGAGTGATCACCTTTTGGAGGAGTTCATCTTGGCGTTCATCTGTCTTGTGATTCTTTTTCCTGAGCTTGAAGTGCAGGAGTGGGTTTTTAGTGTCACTTCTTCATATCTTCTCCATGGTCATGTAGGTAACGCCACAAAGCAATATGTGACACAGTCTCACTGTTGTCACTTACTCACGCAGGATGTCTTCTTTTAATAGCTGAGATGTTGTATGACACAGGTTGGAAGGAAACTAATTTGATCAGACCCTCCAGTAGGCTGTTTTGATAATCCTGATCCCCATCAGGTGTCTCTGATGCCACCATCAGGTTTCATCTGTTTCATCACAATAAAGCACAGTAGATAGTCCATCATATCTTCTTGATTATTCTCTACTCTGTCCAGTCTTTCAGTTACTTTTGAAATGGTTGAAATGCAAGCTAGTATAGGGGTTAAATGTAACTCAAGGTCATGAAGTCTATTAATCAGTTCATTTTAAAAAAAAGGGGTCTTGTTTCCCTCTGCCATACATTGTTTCTAATGTGTACTTTTCTGGTGCAGTTCTTGTGAATTTATGCCATGTATTTGGTGTACACCTGACCCTCTCTGTATCATTCTCTTGGTTTGGATTGTCAGGAATGAATTCCACCGTGGCACATTCTCTCAAATAATGGATGCATTTTTCCGTAGCATTCCATTTCTTTATCTTGGACATCAAATCATCTTTGAAGGGGTACTTTTCCTTTTACAGCTAACAGCATCCACTTCCAGAGAGTGAAGATCTCATCCTAACATCCACTAATACCTCTGGCTGTGGTATTGATTAAAGTCCCTAGCAATGCTACCCAATTGGTGAGCTTCTCTACTATCCAGCAACATGCTGTTGGTCCTATTGTCCCAGCATCAAAGTAACCATGTGACAATGGGTTCATTTGGGTGGCGTGAAAAGTCTTTTCTCAAACGTCGAATTTCTGTCTTTCACAGGTCCAGTAGTAATGGTGATGATATCTTCCTCA